ATCTCCTGCTTCTCAAAAGAGCTCGCAGACCTTCTAGGTGTCAAACTCACCCCCTCAGTGCCCTACCACTCCCAGATGGACAGACAGACGGAGTGGGTCAATCAAGAGATCGAGGCCTACCTCCGGGTGTTCATCAACCATCGCCAGGATGACTGGGCAGACTGGCTCCCCCTAGCGGAATTCTCTTATTGGTATAAAAATGGGGCCTAATTGGCCCATTTCTATAGCATCCGGGTGCAGGGAGCGGCCGTGACATCAAAATAGTGTTACAGTTAATGTGTCAGGAACGTGCCAGAAGCGTATCCGGGTGACCTGTGAGGCGCGCGAAGTCGTCCAGGCTCGTAAGGTCGGAGGGGCGGGACTTTTAGCTTCAGCGACTCAGGTGGAGCACTGCACTTTGTTCTTACGTTGGTGTCCCAATTTCGGACAGAAGCCTTACGATGAGGATAAGAGTTTAGAGGGGGAATCCAAGTCAATATACGAACTGAGGTACATCCGGTGTAACCTACATGCATTATAAACACAAGTAACTAAATGAGACCGGCCCGGAAGGAGTGGCGGATCAAGCGCGATATTAATGAATAGAGAAAGGAACAAATAGTTAATATCGGCAAACTTGGTCAACAAAAGGCAAGCAAGGAACAAAAGGAAGAACAATAGTCCGCAAGCAGACAAAAGAGAAAGAACCATCCGGCCATCTAGCAAGCCGTCCGGCTGGCGAGCGGACAACAATGAAGTGGGCAACCTAAGTTGGAAGGTACGCGCGCGAGGGAGGAAGTGCGGATGAGGGTGATGGGTGGACGGGTGGGTGGACAGATGATGATAGCGGGAGGGACGGGCCAAGTGGCAATAGGATGCGTTGACGGAGGTGACAGATATGTCGGGTCGTGACATAATGTAACAGAGGTTTAACAGTTGTCTTTACAAAGACATTAACAAAATGTGGATTTTGTTAGAACCGGGTGGAAACAGACGACTCCGGAGTGGAATCGGAGACTTAGCGTGGAGGGACCTTGGCCTCAGCGACTCAAGCGGAGTGCTGTGCCATTGCTGTTTGTCCATTTGGTCCTTAATTTCACAGTAGGTGAGCAGGAAGTCTCTAGGGGGCATTTCAGGTCGATTTCGGACTGAACCAAAATGAGTATGTACAAGCACCGATATATATAATGGAGGGGGCAAAAGCACAAGGAAAACAAAGGGTAACCGAATCGGAATGAAGACGTCCGAATGGGAACAAAGGGTAGAAGAAGCGGAGCGGTACCGAAGGTCATAAGGCAGGACCTGTGATACGTCCGAAAGGAGGTAGGGAGGGCGAGGCCCAGAGGGGCAGGAGGATGAGGAGAAGTGGGGATGATGACTAACTGGCTAGAATAGGAAGAAGCAGTAGTCCAAATAGGGATGAGGGGAAAACGCGAGAGATACATTACAAGCAGTGAAAGTGCCAAAGGCGATCTGCGAAGCTCGGGGGTTGCAGAGCTTACGGAGGTTATGGAGGCGGGGTTGAAAGTCCAAGGGATATTGGCAATGGTGTTTACGTAGTATGAGGTCACCAATGCAATGGACTAAGACCGAGGTGGAGTCAAAGTCCGAGGTAGGGACTATGACGGAGGCTCGGAGCAAAGGTACAAGTGGTGTCCGAGTACGAAGTACGGGACAGCGGTGGAAGGTCGTAACTTGGTGGGAGGGTGGCAGAGGAGTACCAGAGGGAGGAGAGAGGGGAAAGGTAAGGGGCAGAAAGGAGAGTTGTCAGGTCCGAAGGTGAGTATCGGAGTGGACGGGGGAAGCGTAGGAGGGTGACGGGAGGGTGGAGGTGTTGTGAAGGAGGAGCGGAGTAGGAGGGTGGCGAGAGGGGCGGTGTTCGGTCCGAGGTGAGTATCGGAACGGACGGAGATAGGGGAGGAGAGGGAAGGAGGAGCAGAGGTGGCGTGGGGGGTAGAAGGAGGTGTGTTGCCAGGACTGGAGGTGAGTATCGGAACGGCAGCGGTAGGGTATGACTCCGGAGGTGAAGAGGGTGGAGGTCCGGAAGTCGGGTCGGGGTCAGGTATGCACGGATATGACAGATTTTGTGATTGTTGTTGGTTAAGTTGTTATTATATACATGTGTCACGGCCCCGCAAAGTCCCCGCCCCTCTACCACTTTCTGCACCCCCATTCTTATGCCGTTACTCGCGCCCGTTAATCTCGCCATTGCCCATCACTTAGCGGCGCCGATAGTGGTTCCCGTTCTACGGCCCCGTAGCAGCGCCTCCTTCGTTTTCCCGCCACCACTTGGGTTCCTCAACCATTCGGCCGGTATCATTTTATTCTATTCACTCGCTTAACTAACTAGCGGTTGTTATGGTCGCTGTTGATCCGCTCCTTATCGACATTCCTTATTGACAATTGATTATTCCTTTATTGATATTTGACTTATACGTATATTGACATTCTGATCCGCGCGCCTAGATTGTCGGCTTATCCTTTCTGCCTCCCAACTTCGCCGTTCTCTGTTCCATTCATCTCTTCTGTTCCATTACCCTGGTCCTCATCGCTCTTTAGTTCTGTCGTACTTATCATCTCGTTCCCGTCCCGCGCCGGACCGACCGGTCCCTTCTCTGTTCTCCTTTCCTATTTATACTTGTAGTTTACTGTCGATGTACCTCAGTTCGAATATCGACTAGAATTCCCCCCCCAAGTACTTTCATCTTAAGTTCGCCCCTCAACTTCATCCCGCTTAAGTCAACGTCGCCGCAAGGTCTTTCCCGCTAACGTGAAATACGGGACAGCCTAGAACGCGTGGCGCAACGCTCTGGCAAAGTCGTTGAAGCCGAAGTCCCAACCCCCTCGACGCCTTGCAACAGAGTAGCTCATTAGCTAAGTGACCACTTACGCCGCCGTACTCCGCCCCACTTCCCGCGATCCCCTCGAACACAGTTTCTGACAACATGTCACGTGATAATATACTGTACAGAGGCCATAAGCGGCTAAAATGGGAATTTCCCATTTCCATAACACTTATAATAACCGCATCCACTCCTCCACCCCTTTCGAACTCGACACTGGCCAACACCCCAGGATGGGGACAGAACCCACATGCACATCCGAGGTGGAGGCTGCTGATGTGTTCTCATCGAGGATGATGAAAATGCAGGAGGAGGTGAAAGCAGCACTAGAACACGCAGTGGATGAATGGCCCACTACTACGACCGAGACCACGAGACAGCCCCAAAGTATCGAGAGGGTGACCAAGTCTGGCTCAATGCACAAAACTACACGACCAACCACCCAACCAAAAAGTTGGACCACAAATGGCTTGGCCCCTTCAAGATCGTCAAAGTCATCTCCCCAGCTGCTGTCAAACTTCAACTTACTGCATGACAGAAGGGAGTTCACCTGGTTGTATCCATAATGAATGTCAGGCCATACCACCCGGACAACATCACAGAACGACCCACTGACCCGTGCCTGGGCCCGGAACTCATAGATGGAGATGAAGAATATGAAGTCAAGAAAGTACTAGACTGTAGGTGGCTATGCTGGAAACTCTGGTATCTGGTGAAGTTTGCTGGCTGGCCAAACTCAGAGAACCAATGGCTCCAGTGGGACCACTTAGTCCACACCCCCAGGCCCTGGGAAGAGAAAGGGAGAACCACCTGGCCGCTTCGAGGCAAAGCGGCTTAAGGAGGGGGTGATGTCAGGGCACACCCACCTGACCTGGCCCCACTTCACCCAGTACCCCACCACCCAGCCCTTTCCTACCTCCTTCCCCCTTCTTCTTTCCTCCTCTCCCTATTTCACTTTCTCTTTATTTTCTCTTTATTCTACATGGACGACCTTTCCTTGTATCAATGTACCATTGACCCACCCGCAGCGTGCTTATGACATGCCTGGCCCAGGCACTTTGGGCGACCCCCACTATGTCCAACTCACACGTTCACAGTGGATGCCCTCGGGATCCCCCATGGGGACACCCGGGTGACTATGGCTGTATGTGAGGGTGACGTGGCACCCATCATGTGACCCAAGCCGCATGTATATAAACATACCTGAAGTGGGAACCAAAGAAGTAGCATAGCATTCCCCTTTAATAATAATAACACCCTTTCCACTTCAGTCTAAGTGGCCAGGGACTGCCTCCTGAGCCAGGCCCACCAGTACACATGCCTGCTCCACACCCCACGAGGCTTCTAGTGTTGGGCGTCTCACCCGGGCCTCCTCTACCCCGGACATGTCCCTGACAGGAGGGTTTTGGATTCAAGGACTTATAACTGGGGGGAACTATTTACTAGAGTAGTACACGCATACATATAGCAGAGGTAATAGGATCTGAAGGTAAACAATGGTTACCAAGGGGAAGAGAAGTAAATAGAAGGAATCCACAGGACAAATATAGAATAGGCGAAAAACCCGAATTATGTCTGAAGTTTGTGGAGTGGGAGAATTAGGAAACAACTGAATGGTAAGGCCTGGGCCCGTCTAAGAATGAGCAAGGGAACCACAGGGGAAGACGTCCATAAGGTTCCAGAGCCCGGAAGTTGTAGTCCGAAATATTAGGGTTGTAGAAAATATCAAATGATAAAATAATAAGGTATAACATGACTGGAGGTAAGGTAGGAGTGGGGAGGTACTGGAGGTACATGACCAGAGGTGCCGGAAGTGCAGAGGCCAGGAGTAAGAAGGAGGGTGGATGGACCAGTTGAGGGTTACCAACAACAAGTAGGTGACCAAGGTCCATCTCCTTTGAACAAAGGGTCCAAGGAGATATGGTAGAGGAGGTCCAGAGGTGATGCAGACATAGATGGGATGGAAGGATGGAAGAGAGGAGGAGGAGGAGGTAATCCTAGGATCGGTAGCATCAACCAGAGGCAGCAGAGAGAGATTGGGGGGCTGGTGGAGGTTATAAGAGTTGTCTAGGAATAGGGTGGAGGGAGGTGGAAGATCTGGGATATGACAGTGCCGCAGAACCTCTACTTGATAATCTCTCCCCACACTTTGCATCAGTCCTCCCGGCAAACACTGCCATGCCCACTGCTCCTAAGAGAGGTGTGAAGCCTAGAGTCAATGCAGCGAAACAGTGTGTTGGTATCATGGCACCACTGCAAAGTCCCAATGCCAGCCTTCCAGCATCTGCCCCCACAGACATCCTATTTCATGACCTCTCTCTGCACTCCAGGCCTGCTAGCCAGTCAAGCCGCATGGCACCTACCAGTTCAACTGTTCCAAAGAGGGGCATCTCGCCTGAACGGGACAGTCACACATCAGTTAAGGAACCGGCTAAGAAGAAGCACAGAGGTGGCAAGTTGAGCAAGGGAAAGATCGAGGAGTTGGCATTGAAGAAGAAAGAGTTCCTACAGTATTTGGAGGAAAAGGGCAATGAATGGGGGGTTTCTTCTGCATTTCTGCTGTGCAACATGAATCTCAGTGAGAGTCTTCAAACTTCAAAAACCACCATTGCTTGGAATAAGTTCCAGCACAACTTTGCCCAGGACTGTGAGGGGGATTATTCTGCCATGAAGGCATCAGCCATGTTCAATGAACTTCATGATGAGCATGGTGGTGAAGGCTCGGAGGACTAGAAGGATCACTGCAAGAAGATGGCAGCACAGTTCAACATGGAGAAGCAGGAGGCAATCAAAGACATGGCTCTTGTTGATAACAATCAAGCAGTTGCCATGAAACAGCTTGAGGGAGAACTCAGGGGCACTATTGACCTTGCTCGACATGCAGGCATTTTTTTGTTTTGTGGGTATGGTGTCTGGAGAACCATTGAATGTCGCTGCGCTGAAGGAGCAGAGCTGGATCACCTTATGTAACCAGTTTCCTACGTCCAATAACGATATTAGAGTTTGTGCTGATTTGTGTACTGACCATGTTTTGGTTGCCAAATATATAATTGTTCACTGTCTAAACAACAATAAACACCCCCCAACGATCTCACCTGATGTACAGATTGTCTATGAATAAAATTCTATATTGACTTTACTATGATTTCTAGTCAATATTACACCTAGATATACCACTTTTCAGTAGGACATGATTTTCCTGATAATTTACTGAAGGAAAACTACTAATAAAATAATTCTGCAATAAATGTTACTCAATACAGGAGTGACCAAACTGCTCTTTCTATCACTTAGAGTGCGTGCTAGTTATCTAGCAGGTTCAGGACCGCCCACTTTTCCCCTGTGGTGTGATAACCAAGTATTGCTGAGAGATTATTCAATTAAGAAGTCCCTCCACCAAATTCTCACTAATTCTCACTATGACACTTTTGTTCAGCTGTGTCTAACTGACCCTAACTCACGCTTAGAGTGACGTGTTAGTTTTATATTAGCTAACAACTAATATTTGCTTTTATCTTTTGGAGCAAATGAACCAACCACTGGTGAGGAGAATTAAACTTATATTTCTACCTGAGGTTTGAGAGGGGGCAGAAGCGGTGGCCTTTTATGCTTTTCAGAGGCCTCTCTACTCCCATGCCTCGCACTAGTTACATGTGCTACATTTGTATTATAGATAGTTCCAGAATGATATAGGGGCTTGGGCTGTGTAAGCTTAATAATGGACTTAGGACATGACTCAGCAATAAGTAATTCAGTTCTTTGTCTTTTGGGCCGATCTCAGCGGGGTCTTGTAGCGCTAAAGCTATGCTCTACACGGCCTTAATTACGAACGGTTATCTTTAGAAATGACTCAGCTATAAAGGAACTTTCTAGACTGTTCTCTAATTCACCCCTTTTTGTGAAGCCGCATCATTACTAATGTTCTAGAGCTTTCCCAATTAATTAACTGATCCGCGGACTTCTGAATCACTTTATGCTTATGATCCGAGATCCAGATCATCAATCATTCCTTTGTTCCGATTTATTTGAGCTTAAAATCAAGAAGTTTTGATGAATCATGGGAAAATATACAAGATCCGGTTCTTAGCATTTTCTCCTCTTCTGATGCGATCAAAAACTGTCCGCCCGCGCCGGGGAATACTCTGTCATATGGTATTTGGTGCGCCAGACTTCTGGGCGCCAATATATTTCCCTTGAGTCACATTACTTTTTGTAAGAATTAGCAAATAAATATATATGAATGATAAGGTGTTTCGCCGTTTGAGCGATATCTCCGTCAGTTCTGAAGCCTTCAGAATGAAACAAAAGCGTGGATAGATTTAAGAAACAGTCCTTTCAGATAGTAAAAAGATTACAGTCAAAAGTTTACTGGTTCCCGAGATATTCACATTTCTTTCCCAATGTTCCTTCTTATTCTGCCATCTATGTGCTAATTCTTTGTTGTAGGGATATATTCTTTGAATATTACACCTATGCCAGGTTCTAGGCATGCTTGTAGTAGATTAAATCTCATGCTACATGGGTGTGGATAATTTATAATGATCTTCTAATGTCTGTCCAGTCTCATAAAGATCCTGAGATCTGTTAAACATCTGAACTGTCACCTGATCGTTGACTATTCTGATAGATTATTGTTTTATTCTTTGAATATTATTTCTCCTACAGCGCATGGAAGGAATATCATTCTTTTCAATGACTCCATCATGCAAAACTTCCTTCATGACCATTGCAAGCTGAAGCAGCTGGAAAGTGATTTCTATTCGTATGTTCTCACTGTCAGGGTTCAGCACCCTGCCTTAGGGTGCCCCGGACTCCCCACCTACTTCACTCCCTTTATTCTTTGATTGTTGCCTTGTTGTTGCCTTTGTGTGTTGTGTACATGTGTGCACAGGATAGCATGGGAACTTTCTGAGCGAGCAGCTCACCCAGAATGTTCCCACAGGTCACAGCCACAATTCTGGGCGAGTAACTCGCCCAGAACATTCCCATGCTTACTGGGCACTGCCACCTGGATGTTCCCTCTGGGTCACTCTAGGAGCTGTATAGTTGTGGGCATGTGACCCATTCCTTTATATAGCAACCATGCGGGGAGATGAGACCTTTACCCTTCTTCTCATCTCATGCCCCACATAGGCAAGTGTATATATTCACTTTCTTTTACTATACATCTCATGCCCCACATAGTGTGAGGACAGGTCAGATGGGGGTTGAGGTCAGGCCCACATTGATCTTGGGGCCCTACTGCCCTATGTGGTGTTTCATGGGGGCCCTTTTGTCAGGGGACGACTCCCGGGTCCCCATGACCCTCCCCTATGGCCCACAGCCTCAGGTCTGGCCAGCCCTATCCAGGGCACAATCCTACTGTGGGTCAGAGATGAGAAGGAAGTTAACTTCTCATCTTCCCACAGTGGCCACAATACATCGAAAACTTCCAGAGATATCCGGAAGTCACATGAAACCCGAGACCCGAGGTCCGGGCCATCTGGCCACACTGAGCATCCAGCACAGGGCATGCACAGGGAGTGCAACAGCCGGGTGCGGTTGCGGGTGCAGGTGCAAGTGCAGGTGTGGATGTGGGTATGGGCTAGGTCAGGGTGTATGCCCTGACACCTTTGGTAAAAACCACCTCTTAGGTAGGCTTAGCAACGCAAAATCGGTACCCTATAGGGCCTCACCCCTGGCTGAGCAAGGTGATGATTTTTACTTGAATCAGGTAGAGGTAGTAGGCTAGCAGCTCTGCATGTATGATAGCACACAAACCATGTATATGTAGAAGTAAATACAGAGCAGATTTAGTGTCATCACAGTTGAAACATTTTTCTGTTGAACAGATGTGCAGTGAACATGTTTGGAGATAGATGATCTTGCATAAAAGTGCTAGATAATTTGGGGGTGGCAGGTGATGCAAGGGACTAATAGAAGAGCTTGGGAGTCAGATGCTAAGTACGTACTTGCAGTGCATGGTGGAGGTGAGGGGAAAATGGGATGCTAATGCAGTGGGGCAGATGGCAAGTCCAAAGTGCACAAGTTACAGGACTGCTCTGCACCAGGATGGTGTCAGGGATGGCACAGGAGAGGTGGGGGTAGCGGCATAGCCCCCAGCACTAGCGGCTCAGGTGGCAGCAGAGTAACGGGTATGTATAGTGAATGGCCCTGTCAGGGCACACACCCTGACTAGCCCGGACCCGCTACACTTCCTGCGCGCATTCCCATGCTCCATGCTCCATGCACCGCATGGTCCAGCCCCGGATCCTGCCTTCATGTGACTTCCGGGTATCCCCGGAAGTTTTCCTGATATGGTGGCCACTGTGGGAAGATGAGAAGTTAGCTTCCTTCTCATCTCCTTACCCACAGTAGGCAAGTGTACCTTACCTACTGTTTATCTATTCATCTCCTTACCCACAGTAGGATTGTGCCCTGGATAGGGCTGGCCAGACCTGAGGCTGTGGGCCATAGGGGAGGGTCATGGGGACCCGGGAGTCATCCCCTGACAGGCCCTCACTCAGGCTCACATCCCTGTCTGGCTCCTTAGGCTGAAGCAGTAGTGATTGTTATTAGAATGGAAGGCTGAACTAAACTAAACTAAGCAGTAGTGAGAAGAAGGCTGCTTCTTCAGTTCTGCTTTGGCTCGGTTTATATACAGGTGGGAACGGGTCACGTGGGGGGTGCCACGTCAGCCTGGGTGGGGCCAGGGTATCGCGGATGGCTCCATGGGCGATCCCAAGTGTCAGAGGGGAGAAGTACAAATGAGGATGTGCAGCGTATCCGGCAGCACAGTACCCACACGGAGTACTTGGCATCAGATGCATCCATGCTACATGGGTAAGGGGAGAGGTCGTCTGTATAAAGAAAGAAAGGAAAGAAGAGAGGTGAAGGAGGAAGACAAAGGACAAAGGGAAAGAGGGAGGAGGAGGAAAGAGGGGCAATGGGAGGGTGTGGAGTGGAGTGGGGCAGCATGCCCTGACATCACCCCCTCTTTAAGCCACTTTGCCTCAAAGTGGCTAGGGGGTTTTCTCGCTCTCTGCCTGGGGCGTCTGGGTGTGCTCTGTGGAACTCCTTGATCTGGTTGTGCACGTTGGCCGGGTTGTTGCAGGGGTGCCACTTGTTTTTGGAGTTTGGCCAGCCCATGAACTTCACCAGATACCAGAGCTTTCTGCGGTGCCAGCAGGAGTTGAGGACCTTCTCGACCTTGTACTCTTCTCCTCCATCTACAATTTCGGGGCCTGGGCGGGGGTCAGCGGGTCGTTCGGCGATCCCATCTGGGCGGTAGGGCTGGACGTTCATTACTGATACCACTGGGTGGTCTCCCTTTTGTCACGCTGTGAGCTGGAGTTTGATGGTGGCAGGGGATATGACCTTGAGGATTTTGAAGGGGCCGGTCCATTTGTGGTCTAGCTTCTTGGTAGGGCAGTCTGTGGTGTAGTTTTGGGTGCTGAGCCAGACTTGATCACCTTCTTTGTACTCAGGCGCTACTTCTCGGTTTCAGTCGTAGTAGCAGGCCATCTCTTCCACTGCATGCTCTAGCACCACCTTTGCCTCTTCCTGCATTTTCATCAGTCTTGAGGTGAACACATCTGTAGCTTCGACTTCTGATGCATGCATGGGTTCCGTCCCCATCCTGGGGTGTTGGCCTGTGTCAAGCTCAAAGGGGTGCAGCGGGTCGAGGTGTGAATGCAGTTATTATGGGAGAACTCCGCTAGCGGGAGCCAGTCCACCCAGTCATCCTGGCGGTG